CGGTGGTAACAGTGGTGGTAGAAATTTTAATAACAGCAGAAGAGACAACGAGGAAAGAATGGACATTGAAAAGAATTTGGAGATGGAGGCAAGATACCGAGAGATACTGTTGGAACAACAAAGAATACATAGCAGGGAACTGTTGGCAAGGTTAAGTCCACATGGTTCAGTTTTAGCGGCTTTCAGTAATCATCATCATCATCATCATCATCACCATCATCAAAATCGTATACAGGAACAAGAACATCATCCGTCGGCAGGTAGACAAGAAATTTTAACCGTGAAAGATTTCTCCAGGTCTAGCAGTCACGACAAATCATCATCTCCGATCAGAATAGACCAGGAAGTTCAAAGGGATAGAGACGGAGAGGATCGTCGATTAACTACGGACTCGCCGATCGGTAGAATCACCGAATTGGCATTGCAAAGAGAACGCGATAGGATTCAAGATGACGAGGATTCGAGAATCGATAGAATGACCAATCCTCGTTCTGTATCGCCAGTTAGTAGGCGAGAAATGTTAGACGATCGTAGCGATTCCGAGGCGAATCGTTCCCTAGAAGGTGACAGAACGACGGATCATCTTGATCTCGAGGATCAAGAGATACGAAGCGTCGGACAGTCGGAAGATCTCAACGTAATGGACTCGGACTGTGAACTTGAGAGAGATCTTGAAACCGGTCAAGAAAAAGAAGAGAAGTCGAGTCCTGTAGTGCCTCAGCCAATACACCCTGGGGTCCAAAGGCCCTCACAGGGAGGGCCTTACCTTACCGGTGCACCCGGCGCTCCTGGATGGAATCCTGCAGGATTTCCTCATCTTGCTAGTTTTGCCTGGTTACCCCCACCCCCACATCCCCATAATCCTCATGGACATCTGTATACGCCTCATGGAGGACCCACAAGTCCTAACGGTGAGATTATTATTTTGTTTTTTTTTTTCTATCTAATCTTCTATTTAACTTTTTAACAAAAGTAAAATATCAAACAAAAAATAAAGAAAAGAAAATTCTAACGATTTAAACAAAAGTTAATATAGTATATTATATTATCGTATTTGAATTACCTAATTCACGGAGAACAACGAACCTGATATGGTATTACTCGATGGCACACAAATTACGGCACGAACGATCCACCACGTTCTCGATCGGCCAACCTGATGGACCTCACGCGAACCCAATAAATATAACTCCAGTTCCGTTTCTTTAATCGAGCCTCTAGCAAACTACACGACCAACCCGTTACGAGGTGTAAAAGAGTTAAGTCGGTTTCTACCTTATCGTTTTAATTCCCCTTTTCATTCGAGAATTTTTATCTCACGCTTACGCACATAAACGAATCTTGGACTGTTGATCTTAGGTATTGGTAAAGAAATTTAAACATTACTGAAAATATATTATTCTTGAGATTTGTTCATTTCTTTTATTTATAATTATTCGTATAATTATCTAAATAATTAATTCAAAAGATTATGCTTTAGTTAAGATTAATTTTATTCATATCTTGAAATTCATTAATATATTTTATAATATAATAAGAAATTAAATGGTTAATAAATATAATTATTTTGTTGACTAATTTAGATTGACGATCAATTTTATAATAGGGGTGGATTTTCATTAGGGTCGTATATTGATACAGGGTGTATATATTTTATTATAAATATTACCAAAAAAGTGGGTGAATTGAAAAATTTTAATCTTTAACGATGAAAAAAAATGTAATAAAATTGAATTTGAAGAAAAAAAAATTCTTTCTTTGTTAGTATCAATACTTTTCAACCAACCAACATAATTATTTATAATTTTAATGTTAATTAATTTATTAAGAGATATTGACCCGAATAAAAAGTAAATATTAATTTTATACACGAGACAAAAAGAGGATCACAAAATGGTATATTTAAGAAATAAAAAAAGAGAAARAGAAAGAGTGAGAGAGAGTGAGAGTGAGGGGAGGGGAGTCAATTCGTGCTGCAGATCGCGACAATGTCGATGATTAGGCGGAAAACGCGAGCTCCTAATGCGCCTCGCACGACATTCGCGGCACGATTCGCGGAGACCATAACGTTCGATATTAGCGTCGGTGGTCACGCAAACGTCGAGAGCATTATCGGTTCTTACCAAGTTGTATGTATATATATAAACCTAACATGTGCCAAAGAATTCACTTATACGAGAACTCGTTCCATCGAGATCATGATTGAAAAGTCAGCAACTCGGAAGACCAGCAGCTATCTAACTACCTGCATACCTTTCTTTTAATTTGTTTTTTATAATAATTATTTTATAAGAATTAAAGATCAAGGATCTATAGGGCCAATAATTTCATTAGCTTGAAATACTTAATTATAAAAAGGAAGAAAGAAGAAATAATCTAAGTGGAAAATAAAAAAAACTGTAAAAACTGGTTGAGAGAGAGCTTAGCCAACGTACTGGTTGGATTAGAATCTGTAAAATATGTGACTGAAATTTTCATTGAAATTTGTTGAACATGATAAGCATGTTTTTTTTTGTTCTTTTCTTTTTAATTATCTTACTTATGGTTTACTATTACTTACATTAGTATTTCACGTAATCATTAGCCTACTCCAAACGATTTTTTTTGTTTGTTCTTTACCTTAATAGGATTGATTCGACTATCAGATACCCGTAATTTGTTGAAGTCTCACAGATCGTAACTACTTTTTTTGTTATTGTTCGCTTTTTTGTTTAAAGGATTTCTTTTTAGAATATTCTCTAAGATCCGATATATACAAATAATTTACATATTATCATTAGCTGAGTACTCCGCGTTGAAACGTTTAAACGTAGTACATTGTGGATAGAGAAAAAAAATCTTTTGAAATATACCAAGCCTTTCCCTTCGATCAAAGCAAAGACTCGTCACGAAGTTTCACTGACTTTCTTCAATTCCTTCCACGATGCTTTGCCTATCGAGTCTCGTCTAACTTCGAAAGCACGTCGATAGAGAATCTAGGCTAGCGGAACGTACTACGTTCCTTCTTCTATTTTAACGATTCTGGAAAAGCCAACAACCAACTTTGTTTCAAATCAATTTCTTCTTATTCCAGTCTCACGATTATTAGTCACGATAAATAACCCGAAATTTTATTAAATTTATATTCAAATAAACTGGAAACAATCCTGAAAATGTATTCAATATTATTTGACATAATACAAAAGCAATAGAAAAAAATTTATATCAATTGAACAAATTCGAATCTTTATAAGGCATCGACCACGTGTTCAGAAATTTAATTTAAATCCGACAAATAAAAATATAATTTTATAAAAATTTATTATAACCCAGAAAATAAAATAAACTCAAAATAAATTATATTCTATTTTTATTAACATCGAAAGGACTATTGTATTTCACGCAATTTCTTTCTTTAAATTTTTTGATATAAGTTACTGTACAATACTGCAGAAAATAATAATTAAACGAAAATCCTACAATACTGATTAATTAAATCTATAATTTAATTAAAATCCAATGATTAAAAATACAACTACTGCAAAATTTTCTAATCAGAAAATAAATCCCAATAAGCCATCAAATAAATATTAAGTTGGCAAGTATAAAATTTATAATGAGTCATGTTATCAATTTTATTTCTTAACAAATTTCATACTTGACAATCTAATAATATTTCATTCTTTACGTATCCCAATACAAGTTATAGTATTTCCGAAAGTGATAATGAAATGAAAAGCTTGCTATACGAGTGTTAATTAATGTACATGATTAAGCATTGAATAGTATCTCACAATTATATATACTCGATAACATAAGTCATAGTCGAGGTGATAATAATAAAATAATAATAATAAGAAGAATAATAGCTATCGATTTCTCAAATATGAATCTCACACAGTAGAGTTAAACGTGAGTTTGTTAAACGTGGAATTAAGATAAAGAAACATAGCAAGCTAGGTGGGGTGGTAAATCTGTCGAGCGTATGAAATAATCGTTCGTTCAATTAAAGGAACTGGTCGAAGAACCCTGGCGTGGGTTCTCTCACTCTCACTCACTCAGTCTCTTTCTCTCTTTCTTTCATTCATTCTTTCTTTCTTTCTCTCGCGAATCGTTTCATGCACGAGCAAACCTTACTGGAGCCAGGCATCGATCCGGCTGTTCGAGCCAACAACGACGAACAAAGCTCCACCTTATGGCTCCGACTCTATCATCCATACCTGTTAACTTTAATTGACAGTTTACTTTAATGACAGTCACCTTATAGACGCTAACTCTGAAAAACATAGCCAGCTTCGGTGACCATTATACTCTTGGCTTTAACAGTTGGTATATCTCGGCACATAAACACATAGAAAAGTGGATGTCACGATATATATTCTCTCTCTCTCTCTCTCTCTCTCTCTCTCTATTTCTATCTATTTCTCTCCTTTTCTCTATCTATTAGATGCAATCAGAAATTTTACTTTAGGCATTTAACTCGTTCCATTTAAAATTACATACGCGATACGTGTTTGATTTACAAATAGACGGGGAAATATTCACCACAAGGTAGATGATAATAATAATTTATTTGTACATTATTATACTGAATAACGAAGAACGACTGTTTAAATATCTTATGTTTATTTGAATGCAATCAAATATTAAAGTTTTATTTGAAATTATACGTTAAGCGTTTGATGTACAAATAGACGTGAAAATATTCTAAGCAAATAATGGATATTATTATTCTGTATAACGAATATTAAATATGGCATATGTATATTTCTCTATCTTATATTCCTCTATGAAGAAATTTAAGCTAGGTTTCATTTAATATTGTTAACACGTTTAACATTTGATTTACAAATAGGAAAGAAAATATTTCAGATAATGCGCATATGTATATATATATACGTATAGTATTATTTTATAGATATATACATATATACAAATGTATATTTTGGTAAATGGGTGTATAATAGGTTGCCTCAACACTATTATCTTGAATACCGAGGACTGTGAGCAATAAATATCACCGTTAAAGCACGAGTACGTTCGCGAGTTCGCTTTTCTCGCTTCGGCATCGGACTCCTCTTACAGCTTTTACTTCTTCTGGCTGCTGGACCAGACGAGTACTGACTTTGGAAATATAAATAGACGTCGTGATTCTAAGCTTACGAACGAACGAGTTCGAGTGATCTTGGGAAAAACGGATATGTTTGCTATGTGCCCATGATTTGTGAGCTGGACTTCCTTAATTACTAAAAAAATCTTAACTTGTTAAAATTAATTTAACAAATATTCATTCTAATATTTTTAAAGAAGAAGAAGAAAAAAATATATTAGATAGGATTTAAACAGAAAATTATTTGCTCTAAATAAACAAGACAAAAAAAAAGAGATGAAAAATAAAAATAAGAATTCATATTACACATATGGTAAGAAAAATTATAAATTTTGATAGTAATAACGTTGAAATGAAATAACTTGAGTACTCAAACATAGTTAAAACGCAGACTCATTAGCTTTTAACTTCCTTCTCTCTATCCCTCTTTCTCTCTTTCTTTTTCTAAAGAATTGAAAACACTTCAAACAACATACAACGTAAAAGCGGCATGGAGAGACACAACAAACAACGAAACGAGAGTAGTTATATTTCTAACAGAGCTATTTCGTACCTTAACACGAGCAAAATTGGAGTTCGCGCGTAACGAGAAACTCGCGGTGGTGTGTGCTTCCTAGAAAGAAATTTTCTAAGCCCATTACTGAACTCTCTCTCTCTCTCTTTCTCTATTTCTTAACAGGAGTATATAAAAGTCGTTGGTTGTTGAAGTTGCTACTTGGTTAGGTAGATACGGGTGGCAAAGGTACACACAAGTTCTCGGTTGAGTGTATATTTTCTTGACGTCTCGAGAAAACGAATGAGAAAGAGAAGGAGAAAGATAAA